AGGCTTACCAGTGGAACTTTATTACTCTGTTTTCCTTGAAAACTGAAAATTAATATTTAGTTGTTCTTTAGAAGGGTTTATTTACATATATGTCATTTTGTAGTACTGCTACATAGCCCCTTAAAATATTTCCTCTGTGTAGATGAAGGTGTTTGATCAAATCACTCTACAAGCATGTCATCGGTTCATACTTCCATACAACAAAATATTACTCAGACAGCTTTAAAGTAGCTTTTACTCTAGTTTTCACAATGGAGTAAATGAATTCTCACTACTATACTAATTTAAAACTGAAATATTCTTATGTCCATATACAAGAAATAGAGGACTAAAAAAAAAAAAAAAAAAAAGTCTGTTAATCTTGAATGAGATTTCTTTTCCAGCTGCCTGAACAAGTTGATTCCAGTGTAATTTGCACAGCTGGGCAGGCTGGCAGGTGGTAGGAAACATTTTGGGTATGTGGCCTTTTACCACAGTCTGAAATAAAATGAAAGAGATAGTAAATCTGGAAGGGATTTTTTTTTTTTTTTACCCAAAGTTGTTAAATAAATACTATTCTTACATGTATGTATATTTCTTTTGAAAATTTTGAAGTTTTTTTTATCAACTTGTGGCTTGTTTCTGTTGAATCCCTAGATAGGCTTGTGTAATTCGGCATAAAGCATCAGCTCACTCATTCTATGAGCTCATTGAGAAAACATGACTTGGAAAAGAGGCATTAAAAATAGACTATAATTAAGTTATGCCAAATCATCAGAACGGGACAGTAAAGTTAACTTGAAAAATTGGACAAATTTAGCAAGAGAAGTGTCCGTATCAGGAACTCGAGAAGGAACATAAATTGGTATTTACAGACGTATAAACTGGTACTTAAATGTAGCAGTGCCCACATTAAATAGCAATAAGAGAGCATATGTGAATGGGCTGCTATGTTTTTAAATACTAAACGTACAAAAACAGTTCATCTGGGAAGTGATTTAATACAGACTCAGTAACGACAGCATCTGTGAATGTTTCCTGCAGAACAGTTAAATCATTTGGAAAGAAAGATGATTGTGTATTGATGAATTATAGGAGATCCCATCTCCCTGCAAATCAGCCACTTCAGTAAATAGTGCCATGAAACCTTCACTATTTGTAGGTAAAACTCTAAAATAGCATTCTCCCAATATCACCAAATGCTTCCAATGCATTCCTATGCCAGTTTTTCTCAGCAATGACAGGAAATGTAGTTCAGATCTGTAAAAATTTGCATAATTTCTATTTAGATTATATTGAAATTCAGTTTACTTTAGAATTCACTGTATCTGTATAAAGACTTGAATATGAGCTATGTTAAAAAAAACTTTCATCGTAAAATCCAAATAGCACAGTTTGGCTACTGGGTATTCAAGGTCACTCACCTAGTCGAAGTCTGTAACCTGTAACTAGAATTTGTTTAAGTGCAAAGCCAGATTTTGTACCCCTTTCTGCGGAACAGAGTTTTTTTCTTCATTTCACTGTAAATACATATATATGCATTTCAGTTCAGTAGCTAAGTTATTCAAAGTTGAAACACTGCTTCAGAGTTCTAACAACAGGCACCACGTTTTCCTTCTTCAACGTACAGATACAGTTCTACAAACCGAAACGATATGGTTTGTTTGAGTGGTACAAATAACACTAGCGTTGTGACTAAAATTATTCAAATTCAAGTTAGTAAACAGTTTTCATAAGTGTTTTTTTTTCTTCTTCTTGTCTGTGTCTTTCAGGGTTTTACTTTTTGTTTTTTACACGCCCATATACTTTCACTGTTCAAATAATAAAATTTATCCATGTGTACTTTTTTAACATTCCTTAAAATGAAGCTTGATGCAAATAATGAGTAGAACAATCATCTAATAAATGAAAAATGCATCATTAATCATTTTAAACATTGAAAGTAAGAATGCAGTTATGTTAAGCTGTATGATTACTTACCTTGCTTAAATACATGTAGAGTGGCAGAGTCATCCTCCTCGTTAGGAAGGAAAAGTGCCGGATTTTTCATAATGATGGCATACAGGCAAACAGCAGTGTATTTTAACGGTTAACAAACAGGAGCCTTGGTCTTTCCTTAAAAAATAAGAACTAAACAAAAAAATCAAAGTCAAATTAATATTATTTAAAATATGTTGTCTGTTTCACTGATTTAATATCTAAATGCTGTCTTTGCTAGACAAAGCATTTCCGCTAATTCTGCATGGATATATATTCCAGAAGAAGTGACAAGAAAAAGTCGTATGTTATGTATGTCCTCTGAGAGACCTCTTCCATTTTTTCCCTGTAGTATAGGTTAATTTTACTATAAATTAAAATGTATACTTAGAATGTGTAAAAGAAGAAAGTTGTTTAAAAATGTCTGGCTATTACCAGGTAGAAAGTGAGCAATTATTTTCACTATATGTACCAATGTCAACACCAACGAGTAACTAATATGAAACGATAGAAAGGAAAAGTCAAGATTGGAATAAAAGAGCACAGTCCTTGTTAAAAATATGTATCTTAAATTTTAGGTTTTGATACTGTCTTTCTTCCATCTCTTAATTTCTCCTTATGTTTTTCCTCTTCCTCAACATTTTTAATGTGCTTTTTGTGTGTGTGTAGTTTGTGTATTTGAGTAATTGCGTTGAGGATTTTCATTTTGAAATGAACCCAGATACTGAGATTTTTCCTGTATTTGGAGTGAAGCGTACTGTCTCTTCTAACTTGTTTCTGGCGACAGTCAGTACTTCATCAAAGCAAGCAGACTTGTCCCATGGCTTAGCATTTGAGGACTCATCTAACAACCCAAATTGACAACAGCTACAAAATTCAATAGGAGGTTCTTGAGTGTTCCAGTATTTGCTTTGTATGAGCTTTTGGATATTTCATAGTCTTCTCTGTCATTATGTTTCTTGTCATGCCCAGTGTTTGGAAGTGGAGGGTTAGCAATATGTCTTTTTTTCCCAACAACTTTCCAGCAGCACCAATATGTTTCTATTTAAGGGTGTTTCAATAATGTCTTTAGTATGCTAGCTGTTAGGATTTAAGTTCATTCCTCACAATTGCAAAGATAATGGTATTGAAACAATGGTGATCTTCGTTTTGGGATCAGTTGGCACTCAAAATCGTATTTTGAGATTTCAGGGCAAAAGGAAGAACCTAGTCAGACGAAGCAACTGAAGAAACGGTCAAAAAAATTTTCATTGAGTGCATCAGAACAAATCTAGCTTACTAAATCTTCTCTATTAGTGCAATCCTTAAATAAGATACTCCTGTGCTTATATGGGACATCTTCCTGCTCAAGGATGGGATGAGTCAAAAGATACGCTGCTGTAGGAGAATATTTCAGCAGGTTTTTGTGTTCTGTCCTTATACCATTCTCCTTTTAAGTAGTCTACTCCTGCTGAGGTCAGAAAGTCACGTAGTCTGGGAATCTCACTGAAAAATTCCTTTGAGGCAGAGCTGATCCTTTGTAATTCATGTGGTTTCCATCACACTTCATCCAAAGTTATAGGATATAAATTATCACTCTTTGTCACATGTGGCTAAGTGCATAGAGGTTAAGTTGATCCAGGTGGTGTCCAGATACTAGACGAGGTATAGCATTGGAAGAGCTGAGGGATAAGCTCAACTTGGAATACTTGGAAAAAATTGCAGCTGACATGGCAACCACTGTGAGCTTGAGTCGTGTGGTCCGGTGTAGTGGGACAGGTAGCCAAACCTGTGGAGAAAAATGAAGAAGAAGGTAGGAAAGTGAACGATTCTTTCTGTAGGTTTCCAAAGGCAAACTCCAGCACATCTGTTGGGTTTTACATATCCAGCTTCTTACCGTCATTGATCGTGTTGGATCAGGCAGCAGTATGCAATGAGGTCCAGTGAAATGGTGAAGGTTTTATAAAAACTAAAAGGAAAGGTAATACGTATTTTATATTTTAGATAAAATTATCACTAGTACCTGATTTCTAAGGAGCTAGCTGGAATATCTGACTTCCACTTGCAGCTTGTTTACCCAACAAGGTAGGCATTGTTTACTAGTTTAGGGATAGGGAGGGGAGGTCTTATGTAGAAATAATGGATGTAAACATTTTCAAGTAGGTCTGTTTCATCGTGCTGTCTCTATTTTTCTAAAAGAGAAGACATGACAATTTATGACAGAGACAATTATAGGGTGTTGGGGCAGGATGTTTTGGGATTATTTTTTTATTATTATTATTTTAAGGTTTTGATTATCAGTGCAAGCTACATTGTTACTGTCTCCTGAATTAAAATCCTAGTTTGGCTGACTTAGCTGCAGATGATACCCAGATGATTGTCTGACAGGTCCTGTTCTAAGGGTAAGTTAATTATAGACACAAGCTAATAATTCAGTAAGACCCTGGAAGGGACACTGATACAGGTAGCCTAGTACCTCAGACTTTATCAAAGCAGTTGTTAATTGTTACAAAGCTGTGTTCCCACAGGTACAATCCTTTTCACCCCACATCACATGTGCTTCCTGAAGCATGTTCTTGCTATGAAGATGGTAAGCTCTTTAGGCTAGAGATGGTATTGTTGTGTTCTGCTTCTTCCAGCACCATGAGCATTTAGGCACTACTGAACACAAATACTAATAGAAACTGTATTAAATATGTTAAGCACTGTTCCATCCTGAATAAAATAAACTGCATCACTTAAAACTTATCTCCGTGAATGTTCGTGTGAGTTGTGTTTGTGCAAGCAATCAGCTCGTTAGGAAAAGAGGGGTTGATAAGCCAGTCCGAGTGTATTTGTTTTTTAATTCAGAGTACTTGAGAATGATGTATACATGTAATTGTTTTTCTGTTATGTTCTCAGCAGTGCTTTAAAAGGTTATAAATCAAATGTTGTCAGTATGGGGAAAAGCGTTGACTGGAGTGTTAATAACAGTTCTCCTGTACATATTTAAACAAGATAACTTCTGAAGAAAGGAGAATATTAATACATGTTTCAGTATCTGATTCTTTTCGATTTTCCCACAGATATCAATGAGTGTCAGTTACAAGGAGTATGCCCTAATGGTGAGTGCTTGAATACCATGGGCAGCTACAGATGTACCTGCAAAATGGGATTTGTGCCAGATCCTACCCTCTCAAGATGCATACGTAAGTAACAGTGCTAATCAAAGTACCAAAATAGATCTTTAGCTGCACTTCAGATAAGGATTGATTTGACTGGCCCCAACTCTGCTAAGCTATCCCCATCTTTTTTGCTGTCCCTGCCTTCTCTTCTCAACTTACTTTATTTAGTCAGTCTTAGTGCTCGTGCCTCTTTTCTCTCTCTGTCTCGGAAGCCTTGGTCTCCACCAGTGGCTGTCCAGGATCCTTGCCATCTTTTCCTGGTTTTCTTGTCACAAAACCTTCAAGGCCAGATCCAGCCTCCTCATATGCTCGGTCTTTCTCACCAGCCTGGTGCCCTCCTTCCCACAATTTTTTTCCCCTCTCTGCTAATTCCCCAGCCAAACTAATCTGTGTCTTGCCCTCCCCTCTCCCACCTCTGCACCTTTGACCTGGGTAGTTTCCGTTACTAAACATTCAGACCAGGATGATCTTTAGCACATTTTCCTCCTGATTAAGAAGGATTAAAAATTAAGAAAGAATTAGGAGAAAGAAGAAGTTGTGAGCAGCATGAATGCAAATATTTTCCACTTTTAATCGGCTTTTACTTGGTTTTGTATCAACTACCTCTGCAAGAAGAAAAGAAGGCATAGGGAACAACTAAATTTCTCACTTTAAGTTTTTTGGGAAGAATATTTACAAGTGAAAAGTGCCTTATTTCCTAAGCTCCTCATCTGAGTTGTCTTTAGATTTAGAAAATATAGTCTATAGCCATAAGTGAATTCTTTCATTTTTTCAGCCTAATTATCTTATGCTACTAGTTAATGATACTCAATTACTGAGCAACTTTTTTAGCACTCTGAAGAATTTCCTATCCCTTTTCAGTTTAACACCAGAAAAAAGGAGTTGGTTTTCATTTTTGCCTTTACGTGTTGTGTTGAAAATCAGATAGTCTTTGTATTTTTTGAGTTAACATATTACGCAGAACTGGTATACATTTTATCCCTAGGATGAGTGGGAATTCAGGAGTGTTTGATGCAAAACAAGAGTTTTCTTTTGTGTTGTGATTATGGCTTGAGATGGGTGTTTTGAAATAAAACTTCTGCAGATGGTAGTATGAATCCATTAACCTGGTGGTGTGAATCCAGGGGTGTTTTTCTGGTTTGCTTTTCATGTGAACAGTACCATCCTTTCTTCCACTTTCATTGCAGCTGATAATCCTATAGTTGCTGAAGAGAAAGGACCCTGCTACCGGTTTGTTAGTGCAGGAAAGCAATGCATGCACCCTCTTTCTGTTCAGCTCAGCAAGCAGCTTTGCTGTTGCAGTGTTGGCAAAGCCTGGGGCCCGCACTGTGAAAAGTGTCCGCTTCCAGGAACAGGTAAGATCTGCCCGTTAAAAATACAAGCTCCTGTCCCCACCCTATGTTTGTTATGCGTGCTTTAAAAAAACACACAACATGAATTGATTTTAAACAAGGAGTGTCCATCAGTAAGTTGCGACAGTTCTGTACATGAGAGTAGAATAATCACATACAGAGTAGTTTTGTTCATAGAGACTTCTGAATGAGAAAAAGGAATTATCTTTGCTATGTTGTGATAGAATTCCAGATTAACGATATTTTCATCTCTGATTGTGTCATTGAACTTTGGTTTTCCATCACATGAAGATGAATTTATTGTACATTATATTCTGGCAAATTAACCCAAAATCTAATTAATTCTCGTTAGTTGTTAAAGGCCCTGGTGAAAGGACAGAAGCTTTTGAGAATGAGAACTACACCTGTTGTAATTTACATTACAGTTAGTGGGATATGTATGGGAGTATCTCTGCTTTCTAACCTTCCTTCGTGTCTTTACCATCCATTTTGAGGAATGTGCGAAGTAGGGTGTAGCCTTCTTAACAATAAACTGGCAGTTAAACATTTCATGCCACCTTTCACTTAAACAGTTCCTTACTTGACACGTAAAGCTCACTTGTATTGTCAGTGTTCACTTGGAGTCCTTCTGTTTTTTAAAAATATAAGGACTTGGAAAATAGCATCTTTGCTGGTTGCTTTTCTTAACGAAAAGACTGCAGAAAGAAAATCTGAGTAGAAAATTGTGATGAGCTGTGTGGGAAACACTTTTCCCATTTCATGACAACTTTCATGATTTAAAAACATGTTCCTTTCTATAACAGGTTAAATTCATAATCTTTCAGAGTTTTCTATGAAAAATGGGTGAAAGTGAGATACTCCAGAATGGGGTAATGTATTTATTGCAGCATCCCATGTTAATGTAAGAGTCACTGAATTAAAGTAATGATCTCACTCTCTGATAGCTTTTAAATTATTTGTACGAAGTAGACCAGCTCCAAAAGAGAGACTGAGAGAGGCCAGCTTTGTGTGCTCAGGTGCTGAAAGGACTTATCAGAGCTGTACTAGAATAAGGCTCACGTTTCTGTTCTGCGTTGGAGAGAATATGACCTGAAACAAGGTGTCCTACATCCCAAGCATGCATGTGAAGGGACAGGCATAACATTTTCTCTGTCTTCCTCCTTTGACCAGAATTCCCATTCTCAGTTCAGTGTTTATGTGGCAAGTTTTGATATTAGCATTTCCCAACAAAACCTATTTCATCATTCTGAATCCACTCCGTTTAAGCAGTTTGACCCTTCATCTTTTCTATTGCTAAGACACCATGAGAACACAGTATGCAATTAATACATACTGCAGTTTCATGTATAATTTAATGAATTTGTCTGTGGAATACCTATAGCTACTATTTTGTGTTTTTATTTTAGATGCTAATTCATTTTAAAACCCTGATGTGTTCAAAGCAGAATTTGTGAACTTCCCAATGCCCCACTCCGCACATCTCTTAAGAAGCTGTAAGAAATCACGTTGGGCACGTGGGAGACTAAATCTTTGGTGTTTCATCCCAACATAGCTTTCCCTAGAGCAATGAGGACAATGAAGCACTGCCCCCTCAAGACTCCTGGAGGTCTCCCTGTCCCTGTCAGGAGCATAGCTATTATCTTTGATGGGGAGGAAGGCTGACCTGTATTTTTTTTTCATTCTAGCCTTCCCCTAGGACTGCAAAACCTGATGCTCATGTAGAGCAGCTGCAGAGATCAGAGCAGGTGCTGCTACCTGCCCTTCATTACCTTTTTCTGTAGAAGCTTTATAAATGAGATTATTTCCCCTCTCTTCCTGTAGTGATTTGGCTTTTTTATGGTCCCTATCTTGTTTTTATCCAGCCCACTGTCAGTGGAAAGACTTACTCAATTTGGTGCAATTGGATCAGAGCTGGTATGAGACCTCTGATTTAGTCAAATGGGATCCTGTGAATGAATGTTGTTACTGGTTGATATTCTTCTGCTCCTCTATAGAGGGGTGGTGAACTTTCTTGCTTTGATTTCTGCAAAGACAGAATGATAAAAATTGTAATCTTCATTCCTTATGCAATGTAGATGATGGTGACAATTTGCATATTTAAATTCATACTTAGGATATACTGTTTGAAGAGGATTAATACAAAAATTATTGTGATATCATGATAGATTAAACATAACTGAAGAAAGATGGTGAACTGGAGTGGAAACCTCCTGGGAATAACAGGCAGAACATGCTTTTGGGAGAATGCTCAGTCATATTAGCATGCAATGCATAGCTTGTCTTTAATTTTTTGGTTAAAATGTATATACAATATGAGATTAAATTTAATTAGTGATAGTCATTATATTTTCCACTGTGTCAACATATTGCACTTTTAGATTCCTAAAAGGAATATTTTCCCATCCCAAATCTAGCTGCTTTTAAGGAAATCTGCCCTGGTGGAATGGGTTATACGGTTTCTGGCCCTCACAGAAACAAGCTATATCATCACCCTGCAGTTAGAGTACAGCCACCTGTCATTGGCAAGACCCCGATTACTCAACCTGTTGCTAAAGGTACTTCTCCTCCACCTCTCCCAGCAAAGGAAGAGCCAGTGGAGGCACTGACCTTCTCACAGAAAAGTGAGACTGAGATGGCTGTGCAAGAAGGTGAGAGTGGGAAAATTTAGTCTTTCTATATTTCTGTGCATGTGTCTTCAGTGGGATGTTTCTTTGAGGAGTAGCTGCGGACAGTGCAGGACAAAGAGGTGTCACCTCCCCCAGCAGAGCGTTCCATGCCGTGGGGTGTATTGTGTTACGTGATTTACTTCTGAAATTTTACGTATAGCTCCTGCCAGATGCTGAGAACACCATGGAGAGAGAGAGGCTGCTTTAATCTCGTTATTTTTTATGATAAGAAATAGTAAATATTTGTTTTAAGACTTATATAAAGATATTTAGAATCTCTAGCATAGAACAAAGGACTCAACTCATGCTTTGATTTGGGGTGGCCAAAGCTAAGGGGTTTTCATCATCTTCCTTCTATACACTCCTGTAGATGAGCACCACCTGATGTGGGCGTGCATCCCCTTCACGTGGTCTGCTCTCGCCCCTTCAGCTGTGCGCTCCCTCGGCGTGACCGTGCTGGATTAGTCCCGCTTTGCTGGGCTGGTTAACAATTAGTTGACTCCTCTAAAATATTTTTCTCAGATTTTGTTTTCTGCAAGCTCCTGTAAGGACTTGTAGCAGCCAAAATTGTCCCGATTCTAAAATGCAGAAGCAAAGCAATGCAGAAAGCAGCACTATTGTGATTATATTGCCAGAAAACTCTGCATGAACTAACGGGAGACAAGAAGAAACACATTGCTGAAGAACCCTCTCGTGATATTGAGGACTTGATAGGTTATTTCCAAGTAGCAGTTATGTGTCTGTATGTCAGGCCGTTATTAGAAAGCGTTTCAGTCAGCTGACTTGGCAAATTTCTGTTTGACATGGGTTACTTTCCAGTTAAAATCACTGGTCTAGTTTTGCTTTCAAAGAGAATGGAGCTAAACTGAGTCTGGAGAGAAAATAAGCCATTCAGATATACTTACAGACTGTGCTGGATTATAAAATCTTATATAAAAAAAAAAAATCTCTGTGCTTTTCGGTGTTACAAAGTGGAAAAAAGTGTTGTATTATTTGCTAAAATATTACTTCAGTAATGAGTACGATCGACCCATGCTAGGAAATCTTAAAATAGAGAATTCAGGGAGAAAAAAGGAGCACTTTTTTTAAACAACTTAAAAAAATATGCTTACTGTGTAAGTCAGTAATGACACATACACCTGTTTGAATTTTATAATCTATATTTTTGTATGTTGTTTGCATTTGGAATTTTTCAGACTTTAATAGAAGTTCTCAGTTCTGATAATCAGCCTCCCCAGTAATACTGAAGAAATTAGAGCAAGAAGAGTGATTTTAAAAAAAAAAAAATCTATCCTCTGGAAAATGTTGATTGTGAAAAGAAAAATATTCTCAACGTTTTTTTACAGAGCCATATAGATTTTCATCAGTAAAAGACAAATTTAAAAAAGGCAAATTGCGATGGAAAATAAAAACTGATATGAAATTTCTACCCCGCCTTCCCAGAAAAAAAAAAGTCATTTCTGTGCAGGAAAAAAAAGCAAACCACTTTTGCCTGCTTTTAAAGAAAAGGCAAATTTGACATTTTTTCTTGTTCACAATAAATTCTTTCAAATCTGTTAGTGGTTAGTTATATATCATTTTAATATTAATTTACCCTTATAAATAATTACAGATGTTGGTATTCCTTTGGAGGAATTAAAAAAGTTTAATCAGTGAGTTAATAACCTGTGAGTTTTTTGGGTTGTTTCTAAGGAAACAATTGAGGCTCCTATAAGGCGGCTGAATACTGAGTAAATAATTATAAGCATTGGTCAGTGTGTAGAATCTTATTCTGGTTTCAGGTTAGTTTTTATGCTTGCTTCAGGAACATTACTTCAAGTTTGCACCATTTTGGGATGAGGTTAGAGACGGAAATTTTCCTGCGATAGCAACAACCACTTTCCAATGTGCTCGTAGTTTTAAATAGAAAGTGTAAATAGATGTTCTGTCAAGAGTGATTAATTTTCTTTTTTCTTTCTGGTTTTAGTGGCAACTGCAGCCCCTGATCAGGTAAAACATTATGTGATTTATCTAGGAATTAGAACGCGGGCCATGCGTACAAGATGGGATCCTAAAAAGGATTTAGGATTTATGAGGAACAAACAACTCACTGTGGACTTACTGTGCAAACCCTGAGGCAAAAAGAGC